GTAGAAGCACAAACGCTACATATAAGGTGAAATTTGCATGTAAAGCGATTAATAAATGAAAGCTCTGAAGTACTTTGAAGGTGTAAATTACTTTCCAGAGTAAAATAAAGATCCAAGTTCGGCCACCTGTAGCTGAGCTTGACTTCGACAGATTTCGTTCATAATTGGCACCCTTGCAGATAGGCATCCATTGAGCAAGGTGTGCAAGTTTCATGCAAATCCCTTGATAACAAATGAGAAAAAAAATTTAAATATAAATATATTGCACATACATATTACAATTATTACAAGAGTTTGTGCTTCTACAGCACATAGTAGACATTTTAGTTGACACATGTGTTCCCTGAGATTATTTGAGAATGTTGAACATTCGTTGCATAATACGTTGTGTATTTTTTTTCCCTTTTCTGTTTAGGGTGTGATGGTGAAACTTGGACCAGCTACAGCCCTTTCTATAACCATTTCATAAATAAATTTATAAGCAAATTGAACAACTTTTATTTAAATGATATGCCCCCTTAAGCCTTTTCAAGGGCAAAAAGGACGGCAACAACGGAGGTCTTCGCAGCAAAAGCAGTACTAATATAGACCAAGTTCACCAGGACATCTGTCGTGCTGCGGCACTTGCGGAATCCAAATTGTGAAGGGGAGAGGTGGTGATGGTGTTCCAGGAACCACATCAGACGAATGATAACCATAAAGAGTTTGCAGACAACTTGTGAGGGCAATAGGGCGAAAGTTCTTAGGGGATGTTCCCCGAAACCCTAGTTTGCAAACAGGGAGAACGGCATCGAGCCAGTCCTCAGGGACTGACGACGACCCAGATCTGATTATACAGACTCGGTAAATACCGAGACTTGCTCGGAGGGAGATGGCGAAGCATCTCAATGAATACCACCGGAGCCTGCCGCCGTAGAACCGCAGAGGGCCAGGGCAGAACGAAGTTTAGAGAGAAAGGATCGTTATAGGAAGTCGAAGACGAGTGCAGAAATCTAAAGGACAAGACTCGAGGACAGGTTTAAGAAGAACGAAAGATTGGGGAAGTTGAAGACCAGAGCTAACAGAAGTGGGAACCCAATTCGGTAGCGACCTGCAACGGGTCCGCCACAAGATTACCACGGTGAAGAACCGGTGAAACATCGGGAACGAACTTTCCCGCTATCTTGCTGATACGCTTCCAGATCTGTGGCAGAGGAGTTTCGGACGTAATGGTGGAGACATAAGATGCCCAACATTCACGTTTAGCCGTACGAATGGCCCTACAGGCCACCGCACTCTCCTTCCGAAAAGAAACTAAAAGAATCTGCCGTCTGCCAACGGCGGTCTCTTCCAGGCTGCACACCACCAGGGAACACACTTCCGTGGACCCCGAGGAGAAGAGCGAAGAATAGAGCGGAGGGCAGCATCAAAGATAGTCATGAAAAAGGAGGAGAGAGCGAGGGAGAGGTAGAAGGGAGAGGTCAGAGCAGCGCTGAGGGTAAAGAGGTTCCAGTCCACTTTCGCAAACTGCCGCCTAGGGAAGGAGAGGGGAGGGCAAAAAGCAAAAGGTAACAAGGATAGTGAAATGGTCACTGCTATGGAGGTCAAGAACCTGCCACGTGAAATCTAAGGAGAGAAGAGCAAAGAGAAAGATCAAGACAGCAAAGGGTGCGAGTCCGAAAATCCAAATGCGTGGGCTCACCAGAATTCAGAAGAGACTGGGAAGAGGATAAACGGCTCAAGAAGGCGACCTCGAGCGTTCGTCAGAACATCACCCCAAAGGGAATGCCGACAACTTAAATCTCCCAGCAGGAGCACAGGCTCCGGCAAGGAGTCCAGGTGGTGTTTCAGATCAGGAAGAGAAAGCGGGACACTCAGCAGAACAATGGGGGGGGGGGGGGGAAGATAATCAAGAGAGCAGAACTGGAACAAACTGTGTACCATTTCCCCACAAAGATAAGAGCAGTAGAACAATGGTGAGAAAGGAAAAAGTAAGGGGACAAAGGGAACATCGGAGCGAATCAAGAGAGCAGAATTGTTAGGAGCCCCAGCAACAGGCATTGGGGGGGTACCTTACCTAAATAAAAATTATTATTATTATTATTATAATTGTTAGGAGGGGGGGGGGGGGAAGAGAGAAAGGAAAGCGACCAGGACGAGCACCAAGCATCGGCTTCTGCAGACAGACACAAAGGGGCGAAAACCGCGAAATCAGAAGTTGGAGTTATAGGAAATTGGCGTAATATCCTCGAACGTTCCATTGAAGAATAGACAACGAAGAGAAGAGAAAGAACAGAAAGAAACAAAGGCGAAAGAGCAACAGCACGTTAAAGAAGATCAGGGTCGGGATCAAGGTCAGCAAAGTCAGGGGGCATGGGTAAACTGAGCAAAGATGAAGGGAAGGAAGCGGGAGAACAGACCAGAGGTGGGCGGGCGGGGTCCGGAGGAGGAGGAAGGAGACAACGGAGAGGAACAGTCAAGGACAGCAGCAGGAAGAGGGGGAGTAGAAAGAGGGGAGTGCACCTCAGCAAGGGCAGCAACCGAGAGGAAAGCAGGGGCCAAAGAAATAGCAGGAACAGGGGGCCCAACCACTGAAACAGGAGGGAAAGGAGCAATAGAATCAGTAGGGGCCGAGGAAGAGAGCGAAGCCTCCTTACCCGCCAGGGAGGGGGAAGGAGAAGAGCCAGGCTTACACTTCTGACTTACTTCGGTATAGCAGCAACTACGTACTGGGCAATGGATTCCAGCGTCTCAACAGAAGCTGAACGAGCGCACACACGACGGCCGTTAGAAGAGAGATGGACATCAGCCCACACCGACAGGCAGCAGGGAGAGTTAATAGATGGAGAAGGAGTATCGGAGGGAGAGGAGGAAGAAGACACGGGAGATATGACAGACCAGGTAGAAAGGGGATCCCCCCATACAGAGGACCAGGAGGGGGACCCTTCGGGACAGAACTCAAAGGAACAGAGGGGGGCACTGGGCGTATCAGGGTCCAAGGGCCGGAAACTTGAGTGAGGAAGGTGGGAAGGATGAGGAGAGGGCAACACGCGAGCATAAGAGACATTAGCATAAGGCGGGAGCCGGCAAACCTGGCGCCTCGCCTCAGGAAAAAGTAAACGCTCACTGTGCTTCAAGGTGAGGACGGCCGCCTCAAGCTTTTAATGGATACACGCACGGGAGAAGGTAGGATGGGCCTCACTGCAGTTGAGGCAGCGAACCTGGGGAGAAGTGCGCTCCGACTTTGAGCGACCTTCGCCCCCCACACAAAGGACCGTCCCAGAGCAGCAGAGGGCACCATGCCCAAACCTTCAGTACTTGTTACAGAGCCGAGGAGAAGGAATGGACTCCTAGACAGAGCACCTGGCAACAGAAAGAATGACAGGGTGGAAGGGTCCTACCATCAAAGGTAATCTTTACAACCCGAAGAGGTTGACGGCGACTACCACGAGGGGGACGAGTAAACGTGTAGGACAGAATGGCCCTGGCATCGAGAATATTCCGAATATCATCGTGGCAGTCCTGCAGTTTCCGAACACCGGTCGCAACATGGGGCGGGAGGAGAATAGTGCCAACACTGGCATTCAACTGAGCATTCTTTTAGACCCGAACAGGGGTCTCACCAAGGCAGGATAAGGCAGCCAAGCAGGAAGCTGCATCCTGAGGAGCAGCAGCAACGACACGTGTACCGAGACGAGTGGGGTTGAAGGTAACAGAGGCATCCACGGAATCAACGAGATGTAGATGGAGGGAGAAATCGTTAAGAGGTGCAAAATCAAGAGGGAGGAGATCAAAGAATTTGGCCCACGAAGCAGGACCAAAAGGCTTGACAGGCATCAGAACGGGAAGGAATCTAGCGAGTGCGGCCATGTCGAGGACGGTGTTGAGAACCCCCAGAGAGAGGAGTTAAAAGGTGCAGTAGTTACTAGAGATGGAGCCGTGCCAGGGGACGAGGTAGTCACCACTGGGGGCTTGGGGCTCTACCCAACCACAGAGGGAGGGGAGCCGAGGGGAGTAGTCAGAGATGCCAAAGGAGGAGCAAGGTCGGGGCCCAATGCAGCGGAGGTTACAGAACCCGGTCTTCCAACACGGATCGACTCGGGGGGGGGGGGGGGGCTTTGTCGCCCACCCCACGAGCCTGAGAAGGTAAAGGAGGAACAGAACATGGGTACAAACCATAGACATTCATCCACAATGTGCCCCCACACCTACCATGGAGGTACAATTAGAGGCAGGACACGCAACAAGCTATCGCCGATCATGCCAGGGCCTCCTTCTGGCGTGTCGTGAGTACACACCCCACAAACGCCACCTTAAGAACCGTCGAGATCGGGTTCAGTGACGAAAGGGGGATTGACAAAAGGTTCTCCTCGCTCTACGTTGGGTACTACAGTTCTATGGGTGCAAGAGTATGCCTCCTCAAGCACCCGGGCGTCAAAATAGAGGAAGTCCAAAGGAATAACCGAAACACAAAAGGTCGGCAGGAAACTACAAGCAGATAGAAGAGGGGGGGAAGGGGGGGGGGGAGAAAAACTAAGCAGACGGAAAAGGAAAAGTTATTCAGCAAAAATTGTAGAAGACAGCAGCAGGAGCACAAGGCTACAAAAGGACAGAGGACTGTCCCAAGGAGCATCACACTCCGGCAGCCGTCCACTAAGCCCACCTCACGGCATCAACGAGCTGAACGGGGAGGGGGCATTTACTGAATCTACGTTGTCTGTAGTAAACATTTTTGCTGGAGATTGTATAAACACTTTGGCATAGTGGGAAAGTCTAGTGTCTTGGACGGGTAGAGTCAACACTTCTAGCTGCTGAAGTTTACTGGTCAATGATTATAGTTACCAATTTAAGAAACACCGAGTACCAAGAACTAAAATTGCCACTTATAGGTTTATAATCAATGTTAAGTTAATTACAGGTACTACAATCTGACAAGTTTTTTTTTTTTTTTTTTTTTTTCTTTTACAGAATTTTACTAAAAGTTCAGAACCCATTTTAATTTGGAAATTTAAAGTTAAATAGTTGACGAACATTTATTAAAGTTACAAAAAGTGCGCCATTACTTTAAGATGGTTCAGGATTTAGAGCAGCCACTAGAGTTTTTCCAAGTCTTCAGTACCTAAACCTGGAAAAAAAAAAAAGTAAAACGAGTAACAACGGCTACAACGTGGTACATCGCTAGGCAAGAACGCTTACCCATAACAGGAAGTACAGTTAAGTGGCTTCGTACTTTCTTGCCAACAAGCTTGATAATTACCTACCTTTCATGATTAACTATTCCATGGCCTTTGATAATTAGTTACTTCCCTAACTACGTAGATTTAGGTAACGTTACTATCTAGTCGCCAATGTATTTGTATACATTGTATCACCATCAGTGTTTAGTGGTGGCTGAAAATAAGTCACTCGCAAGGCAAGTTTCTTTAGGCTAACTAATTCCAAATGTTAAATACTCTTCGATTAAAATTAAAGTATCAAACTTGCGCAATCTATTAGATGTCTAGAACATTAAAATTTTAATTATCCTTATGCGTTTAATGACTGGTCTACCCGACTATTTACCAGGGTACGAATAATACCAGTTACCACGTAACTGGCACCGACCAGATGTGCTAGGGGAAACCTAATGCCCAACTCAATACAACCGAACTTTCAATCCAGAGTGCGCATGGAACAAACAACTATGTACCATTTTACAGGAAACGGTGATTTCTTCAGTCTTATTTTTTTCCCCCCCGACTATTTTAGACCAAAATAAAACCAACCAACATCCACTTTATACATGGCCAAAAGTAAAGTTTAATTTTCCTGTGCAGTTCTGCCTTTGTGAAGTGCTGCACCTTCAAAAATTTAAACCATTTTGTAAACAAATTTGAGCGAGAATACAAGTTTCTCTTTACACTCAAATCTCAGGCCTATGGGCGATTTCCGATGTGTAGGCGGACAAACAAGGTTCAGTCAAAGGAAAAATGAGTTTCCCAGAAATTTAATTGTTAGGAAATAAAACAGGTGTATTAAGTAATAGTTCAGGTTGAATACATAGGCCAAGAGAACCATCACTACTCTTCCCCACAGCGTCATATGGGATTTTGAAGCAATTCCTAGTACAGTGAATACCGACAATATTACCACTTTCCAACGGCACTAACTTTATCCAAGTTATCTATATTACATTTTAAAGTTCAGAATTATTAGAAGACTAAACAGCCGTCACAAATTACACATTACAGGTTTGGTAAAAAACCTGTAGATGCCAATGATTCTGACAAGCGCATACTAAAAACGCTATTAAAGTTTTGAAAAATTGCAGACGAAGCGTGCAAAAATTTTAGTGCACGAATGCTAGAAATTTAAACTATTGAATGCCTAAACAAGCCAAAGTTCATTGATTAGGATAGCCAGGACATATTCCATCTTTTTTACAAGGTAAAAATTAGGAAGGGTTTCAGATTTACACTGATAACAGCAAGTCATAGCAAGATTCAAAACCGCCATACTGAAAAATTCAGGTGCAATAGGCACAGGATTAGCTAGAAGTGACCAAAGACTACCCTATTTTTCCTTACACATACGGAGACCCAGCGAAACTTAGAAAACAGTACAAGTACTTTCAAGCTACTTTAGAGATCAGGTTGTAACTTTAGTATATATATATATATATATATATATAATATATATATATATATATATATATATATATATATATATCATACAAGCAGCCGCTTTCAACCACTTAGACTAGTAGCCAGATGGCCTGGTTAATCACCTAGGCCTACGGAGGTAGTATCACCTTTTGGTAATTAGTGGCCACATTCTTATCCTACCTCGCTCACAGTTTATGAAACTTTAACGATGGGAAGACCAGCAGATTGCTACTCTAAATATCGCTAGATGAATAAAAATCAAATTTCCCTATATAAATTAGTCAAGTAGGGAGATCCCCCGATAATTTTACCTAGTAGTGCAGAATGTTAAATGTCAAATTCTAGTATAGATAGTCTTGAGTACTGACGAGTTTTGAGGATGCAGCTCTTGTAGCCACTACTTCAATAACATTAGATGTAAAGTGGCTACATTTTATAAACTTAAAAGCCATCAAGATTCTCCGTTTAATTCAGCAATGAATATAGTAGTTATTTTAGATTAGGACAAAGATAATTAACAATTTAGTAGTTACACATTAGCCTGTTAATGTCTATTGTCCATTATCATTTAAATTTATTCAATTTTTTAGTACTAATTTAGTTCTGAAAGTCCCGATTGAACTGTACGCACCTGTGTCTACCATAGAGCCCGTCGTCGTAGTACTGTTGATAACCGTGGCCGTACGTGGGACGATACCCGTAGTTGTCCTGGTAGTAACCTTGGCCATACACTGGCTGGTACCGACGATCGTGGAAATATTGAGCAGTCGAGAAGTGTAGTAGAGCCATGAGCACCAGCAGGAGGAGCAGGCTCTGTAAATAAAGTGTCAAATAACAAGGCTAACAAACTTTAGAAGACCAAGAAAATAAACATCAATATAAGCCAAGAATATTTTAAAGCTGGAATACTTACAACACAACGCATAGCAAACATGATGGATACACAGACAACACTGAGAGTCTCCCAAGCTGTACTGACGCTCCACAGCCAAGTGACCCGGTTATATATGCTCCGCCAACACAAGCGGGAGCCCGCTTGTTCCGGAAGTGTTCGAACGTCATCAGTTGTGAGTCGTGTGTAAATCTTTTCATTCATAAACAGGGGGTTTGGCGAGTGCATGGAATGAACTTTGGGTCTTTGTTTGGAGGACGGGCTGAACAAGGAACCGACAGGTGTTGACTGCCTTGTTTACCTGTGACTGAATACCATTGGTTGGTTTGTGGAGACGTGTGGTCGAGGTTTCGACCCTCATAAACGAGACGACTGGAGCCAACATTAGCCTGGCTTGTTCGGGGTCCCGCTTGTGTTGGCGGAGCATATATAACCGGGTCACTTGGCTGTGGAGCGTCAGTACAGCTTGGGAGACTCTCAGTGTTGTCTGTGTATCCATCATGTTTGCTATGCGTTGTGTTGTAAGTATTCCAGCTTTAAAATATTCTTGGCTTATATTGATGTTTATTTTCTTGGTCTTCTAAAGTTTGTTAGCCTTGTTATTTGACACTTTATTTACAGAGCCTGCTCCTCCTGCTGGTGCTCATGGCTCTACTACACTTCTCGACTGCTCAATATTTCCACGATCGTCGGTACCAGCCAGTGTATGGCCAAGGTTACTACCAGGACAACTACGGGTATCGTCCCACGTACGGCCACGGTTATCAACAGTACTACGACGACGGGCTCTATGGTAGACACAGGTGTGTAGTTTTACTTTTGTAATCGCAAGCGGTTTAACTTTATTTCTGTATCTATATTGGTAATTACTTATTCCAGGTTTAATAGGTACTGACGTGCTCTGGCTGGAATGGCAACAATTGGATTCTTCAACCCGTGGTGGACTCTTACGTTTTTTTCTGTAGCGAGCTGAATAAATTTCCTAGCTTAACTGTGTTTAAGTTAACTTAACCTTGGGCAGTTAATCTATTCCACTAGTTTAATTTTTTTTTTCCTCCCCCCCCCCCCCCCCCCCCCCCCCTCTTCTCCTAAAGAGACCAGAAACGGTGAATTAATCTTGGCCCGCTGTAGACGGTTTGGTGAATATTAACATTATACAGTCTAACAAAGTTCAGTTTATATATTGCCTTGACGTTAAAGACGCGAAAATGCCATAACGTTGAAACATGCTAGCAGCAACTAAAGGGCTAGAAAGGAAAGTTTTCGCCTTAAATTTTGGTAGGTGGCCGTATGGGATTAAAATTTTAACTTGCAATTTTAGGTAACTTCAGCTAGCCTAGCATTCTAGAAAAACGCAGAATGGTAAAATGGCAAAATATCACTTGAACAGCCAAAGTACTCCTGGCCAACGTAATCATGCTTCATAATTTCCCGTCCACATAATGTTAATACGTGCATAACATTTAGGCATAATTGTGCCAAACTTAAGATTTCTTCCCATAGATTGACTTAATCCTACTTCAGGTGATGTCCCTCATACTGACTTCAGCCAGTGTTCAGGCTATTTAATTCGCCCTTATCCAGAACTTGACTAGTCCTGAACCTTAATATTCTGGATGTGAAGGTGGTTTGCCTTTGCGGTTTCTCAAAGGAGAAATAATTGAAGATTTCTCTACTGTAAATGTATAATAAAGCATAAATTCTTGCTAAACTGTTCTGAAAAGTAAATTTGCCGAAGGTAATGGTTTACTTGGTATATCTTCCCCCTTTGAGTTAATCAAAACTAGCATGATGCTCGCTAGGTTTTGAACCTGATCACGTTAGCACTAGTACATCACTAGTTTTCTTAAACTAGTGCCCCTTACCACAATTTTAAAGTTGATTACACTGTGAAGTAGACATGGCTAAATGGTATAAATTTAACCAGTGCTTAATATCAAAGGTGCCGTCGTGTAGCAAGGCTAACTTGGTTCTGTACATCGAGCTCTTAACCTTGACCTGCTTCTCTTGCTGCCATACGAAAACGCCATAATGGCATCTGTCTTTGGTCTCTTGCAATCGTTTAAAAAATTACCTTTACTCAAATTCGGTCTGCCCTGTGCCTCTGACGCTATTGGAAAGTTAGGATGGCATTTAAAAATGGGGATAAACTGTTTCTTTACGTATTAATCTTCTAATTTTAAGTCTGTTCATGGACTGAAGAGGTAGTGCTTTTCCCTCTAACCCTGTGGAAAAAAAAAAATTCTCGTTCTCTTATCCTGACATCGGAAGTCTTCGCACTCGTTAATTCTGGTAATCATTGGAGGATCCTCGCTAAACCACCCGCTCTATTTAGGGTTCCCAGACTAAATGGTAGTTTGGCTCTCGCAAAGACTAACTCTCTAAAATAGTCGAGCACATGCTGAGAACCTTATATATCACGGTACTTATTTGACCTAGAAAAACTACCCTACTTTTGCTGTAGTATCGCCTTCTGATAATTAGTTGCTGCATTATCTTGAACTTTAAGGAGGGGTAGGATACCATCTTATGAAATTTAAAGATGGGCAGGCTGCTACTTCAGGCACTAAATATTGCTAAAGACAAATCTGATAAATGTCTGACACGCAAAGGATAAACGTATTTCCCTATACTGTATCTTGAAAGAACATAAAAATAAAAGGATCGATCGTATCCGGGTATTTTACAAAGAGGTGCACGACTAGATTACTTTTGCCAATTAAATTTACTAAAACTTGCGTGGAAAATTAAAGTACAAAAAAAAGATTTATACATAAATCAAAATGGTTAAGTCAGTTTAAAGACTCGGAGCGTGCTATTTTCAGATTTTCCAGTGATCAATTTTTCTATAGTAACCATATGGCATGACTACACAGTTGGCAGAAGCTGTGGCGTCTGTGCAACAGTGCTTCAGAAGTAAAAATATAATAAACTGAATTTAAGTTAAGTGCAGAATGTTTAGTACGATAAACCCTTTTGGGAAGTGGCTGCAAGACTTAAGTTTTCAAGGATTGGTTAATGGTTGTGCCAGCAGATAAGAGCACAGTGTTAAAATGGAAAATATAAAGCTTTCAAACCCTCACGGTATGAAACTTATCATTGTAAGTCCTTTCAACTCTACACCTTCAATATTTACACCAGTTTAACATGATTGCACGGTATTCATGAAAAGGCACTAAATCAGTATGACTGGAGCACCATCAAATGTGTGGAATAATCAGAGGGCGCTAAATATCAAAGGATGCCAATACGAGAACAAACGCAAAAGGCGAAAGATATCAAATGTATCAGATTCACCAAAGTCTAGAGGGACAAGCGAACGCAAGGGACTGTCAGAAAACGAGCCACACGCTCCTCCTGGAAAGTCAAGATATTCAACAAGGATATGCACGACCGTTAGAGGGACAATGTAATTTGGACAAAAAGGAGCAGGGTGGCACTCGGTTAAGTGACCGTGACCCCCTCCCTGTCCGGCTCGTTGCCCTGAGGGGGCTTGGTGGGCGGCTGCAGGCGTGTAATGCTCCATGGGACAGTGCTGTCCTTTTGTGGCCTCATACTCCTGCTGTCCTCACTAATTTTGCTGGACAACTTTAACTTTTTTAGTTTTTCTCCTTTCAAATTGTAATTTCCCACTGACGTTATACCTGTTTTGATCATTCTTTTGGCCTTTTGTTTTGACGCCCGGATGTTTGAAGAGGCATACTCTTGCACCCGTAGACCTGTAGTACCCAACGTCTCGAGCGAGGGGAACCTATTATTGTCAGTCCTCTCCACCGAACCCGATCTCGACGAACTGACGGTTCTTAAGGTGGCGTTTGTGGGGGCGCATACTCGTGACGCAGGCCGGCAAGATCGGCAACTGTTGGGTGTCCTGCCTCTAATTGTGACTCCATGGTGGGTGTGGGGGGCACATTCGTGAATGACACACAAACGAGGAAAGACTGTCACTTGATTTTCCTCTTGTACCTTCTTGGGCTCGTGTTGTGGGCGACCAAGCCCCCGAGTCGGTCCGTGTTGGTAGACCGGGCTCTGTAACCTCTGCTGCATTGGGCCCCGACCTTGCTCCTCCTTTGGCCACTCTGACTACTCTCCTCGGCTCCCCTCCCTCCTCTGTGGTTGGGTCGAGCCCCAGTCCCCAGTGGTGACTACCTCGTCCCGTGGCACGGCTCCATCTATAGTAGAGATGAGTAGTTGTGACTACTATATAGAGTAGTTGTGACTAGAGATGGAGCCGCTCTGTCCTTTGTGTGGGGGCGAAGGTCACTAAGTCGGAGTGCACTTCTCCCCAGGCTCGCTGCCTCAACTGTGGTGAGGCCCATCCTACCTTCTCCCATGCGTGTGTCCATTGCAATCTTGAGGCAGCCGTCCTCAACTTGAAGCACCGGGAGCGTTTATCTTTTCCTGAGGCGAGGCGCCAGGTTCGCCGGCTCCCGCCTTATGCTAACGTCTCCTATGCTCGCGTAATGCGCTCTTCCTCTCCTCGTCCTTCCCGCCTTCCTCAGACTCTCAACCATTTCCGGGCCTTGGACCCTGATACGCCCACCGCCCCCTCCTCTGTTCCTTTGAGTTCTGTCTCGAAGGGTCTCCCTCCTGGTCCTCTGTCTGGGGTTCCCCTTCTTTCTACCCGGTCTGTCGTGTCTCCTGTGTCTTCTTCCTAGTCTCCATGCGATCGTCCTTCCCATCCTTTTCCTCTGTCTATTGACTCTCCCCGCCGCCTGTTGGTGCGGGCTGATGTACATCGCTCTCCTAACGGCCGTTGTGTAAGCTCTCGTTCTGCTTCTGTTGAGATGCTAGAATCAGTTGCCCAGTACATTGTTGCTGGGACGCCTGTCTCTTTGAGTCAGAAGCGTAAGCCTGGCTCCTCTCCTTCCTCCTCCCCGGCGGGTAAAAAGACTTTGCTTTCTTTCTCGTCCCCTACCTCTGACTCTCGCTCTGTCCCCTCCGTTTCGGTGGTTCCGCCCCGTTCCTGCTATGGAAGGGTCTTAGGTCCCCGCTTCCCTCTGGGTTGCTGCCCTTGCTGAGGTGCACTCCCTGGTTTCTGCCCCTCCTACTGCTGTCCATAACCCTCAGTTATCCCCCCCCCCCCTTCTACTTCCTCCAGACCCTACTTGTCCACCCTTGGTCGGTTCTCCAGCTCCCTTCCCTCCTTCACTTGGTTTATCCATGCACCCTAACCCTGATTTCG